CTCTCTCTCTCTCTCTCTCTCTCTCTCTCTCTCTCTCTCTCCATCTCCAACTCTCTTTCCCTCCCTTGATCTCTGACTCTCTCTTTCTCTCTTTCTCACTCCCTCACTCTTTCACTCACTTACTTACTCACTCACCCACGCTCTCTGCCTCAGCAGCAGCAGGGTAGAAGTATAGATCTAGAGTTGTACTTTTATACAGACATGCGTGTGTAAATGAAGCCCCGTAAAAGAAGGTTAATTAAACGAAATGATAAATTATAAGATCAGCTTCGTTGTAAACGCGAACTGTACGTGTTATCGAACTTTGTGGTCTGTTTAGGCCAGCCTCAAATGGAACATGACCTTTCACGTATCACGTTTTACTACCGACATACAACATTACTCGCCTCTGATCTCATAGAATCTAGGTTTTGTCACCCATCTGTGTCCTCATTGTCTGTGCATGCTTGTTGCTTTTTTTTCTACTTGCATACTTTTTCGACAGTTTGCTAGGGCTAGGCTAAGCACACATCAACTGTACTCAACGCAGGGGGGGACAATACATGTCTCAAAAAGAATCAGCATGCACATTCCTCCCTTCACATGAACACAGCTTTACAACGTGACTAGCGTGAGGCAACTGGTTACTGGTTATGTGAGGAGTTCCGTTAAAATTATAATGAACACTTTTGCTTACACGGGTGACCCGTACCTATTCTCCCGCGTGAAGTGTCGAGTGAGGCTGGCCTTGTGTTGCATGTCTGTAGTAAAACGTGTCACGTGAAAGTCACGTTCTATATGAGACGGGCCTTACATGTTCCAGTCTATCATCCTACTCTCTCACCATTGCTGAGATTCCTACTCCTTGCGTCAGAGGGCTGACATGTCCCTTTGAAAAAATAGCCGTCAATTATTTGCACTCCGTGTGCCGTTAAAAGAACGAAAAATAGGCTTTTTTTTCCAATACAAAATACTGGCTTTTAAAGCGAAATGCTTTTAGACCTACTGACAATTGACCCGCCCGAGAGCTTTTTTCAGTTCTTACTTTAACTGTTGTCCTGAGAAATTTGCCCCCTCTTTAACAACAAAATAATGCTGATAGGGGCGTTAAATCCACACACAAATTCAACTGATATTGTTGAGGCCTGCATTTTTATTACGAATGACATTGGTGATTTTAAGTTTATTGCTGTTCATTATGGGCCTGACGTCTTTGTATACATCGGCTTGTTATTTTAGTCATGGCAGTAATGTCATCAATATTATAAGGAATACGTTTACATTTCATCTGCAGAGCGATGAAATTTGATTTCACATTTCTTTAAGAATGTTAGCAGGAGATTGTGTATAGAGTGTAAAAAATACTCGCCCAAGTAATGAGCCCTGGGCAACATCAAATGTAAGAGGTCTGTTTGTCTTAGATGTCCCATCACCTATCCGTAATGTTTGATAACGATCTCTACAATTGCTTCTTATTTTTTAGTTTTAGTAGAGGTTTTTCTGTGCTCGCAACTGCATAAGGTCATTATGAGCCCTAGAAGATTTGAGGTGTTACCAGAGAGTAAAAAACATGAAAAAGAAGAACAGATAAGGACGATAAATGTTTGATAGGAAAGAAGAAGCAAACCGCACCACAGCACCCGCCAACCACCCACCATGCCATGCTAAAAGACCAAATAACCATAAAACCAAAGAAAGAGCTATATATTTTTCTAAACATATGTATTTCCTCCCCCATCAACACAGTGTGGCGTCGGTGGCCTAGTGGTTAGGCTCTCGGACTTGCAACCGTAAGGTCGTGGGTTCGAATCCCGTCAGGGGCCCGGTGTTGTGTCCTTGGGAAAGGCACTTTACACGAATTTTCTTCACTTCACATGGGTACCCGGCTACAGACAGCGAAAGATCTTGTCAGTTTGTTAGTGTTTGAGCGCTTAATCAGCAGCTTGCACTGTATGCTTCACGGGAAGGTGAGAATGTTTCGGAGTGTTCTTCTATGGTCTGCTGGGGTAATAATATAGTGTAAAGCGCATAGAGCTTGCTGTTGAGCGGGGGTATGCGCTATACAAATGCTATTTTTTATTATTATTATTATTATTATTATTATTATTATTATTATTATTATTATTATTATTATTATTATTATTATTATTTTATATTTACATCATTTAGGACGTAGGTATCGACCCTGGATCAGGACTCGGTCCATGAACTGACAACTAGGGACTGCCCTAGCTAATGTGCTGAGGTAGGTTACAACACTTACGAGCTCATGGAAGTTTAGTGTTCGAATCTGGGTGTAGTCCAGAGTTTGGATCTGTATGTTCTCCCTGGAACAATATTCTCTCAGCCTGTTGTCCTGTCTAGGTACATTAAATCGAAATAATCGGTTTCCTGTCTTCTAGGATATGAAACATTAACAACAACATCTACGACAACAACAACAACAACAACAACAATTTCAACAATAATAATAGTAACAACAGTAAAACAAAGACACATGGTAAATTGACTGGATGCTTACGTTTATTGAAGTACAAACCATCATAAAGACAGCTGATAATAATTACTTATTTTAGTGTAGGTGTTTTACGCCCCAATCAACACAACTGATATCATTTAAGAGGCAGCTTCGACCCTGCCCGTCAGGGCCAACCCAAGATGAGAGAGGGGTGTAACATCCTAGGAAAAAGAACGAGACGCTCGAATTTTTCCCTGCACGTGAATCGAACTCATGTCTCCTACGCTCGACGAACATTTGGCTGACCGCTTCACCACAGAAGCTGGTAAAGGAGAACTGGATGGTGGAACATAACAATATTATGTACTTTGGGGTTGTTGTTTTTGTGCTTTTTTGTGTCTGCATTTGCGTGAATAATGGGGGGTTTGATCAAGACCGCTGCAGTGCTTGCGATTATGAATATTTTAAACAAGAAAAATAAATAATTGTTGGTGTTTCATGCCACCAAAGAGACGGTGTAGATCATTTAGGTGGGGGTTATTCCGACCACATCTGCCAGAGCCAACAGGAGCTGAGAGGGATACAATGTTTCAGCAGACAAACAGATATACTCGATTTTTTTTTAATTTCCCCATGAGGGGAACTCGCTGTTTCTTCCTTCAACTGCGAAGCGTCTGACCGCTATACCAGAGACACCTGCATTTGATTTTTCAAAAATACAAACGACATGGTCCCTAGTCACAAAAAGACAACGAAAGAAGTTTTACTCAATCCGAATTCAAACTTCAGCCTAGCGTGTTCATTTTAAGTTGTAATCAACTGCGCCGCACGGTCGTGCTTGATACGTATAAATAATAACAATCCATGCATACTTTTGCATCAACAAAAATAATCTACTTCATAAATAACAAGAAAGACATAATCAACGATGCGAGGCAACCAGCGACAAAACAATAGTACATGGGCGGCCAAGCAGTTTCTGCAATGTCCATGACAGGTCCCATAACGCTACAGACAAAGAGAGACTGGGCCGGGAACAGGAAGCCTATCATAGAGGTAACTCTGCCCAACTTCTGGGTTTGGCCTGTGTCAGTTTTAGAGTTGTCGTCATCCTGCTGTTGATGGAATGGAGAAGAACATGATGTCAGGGAGTACTAATTCATGTATGGAGGTAATGTTTTACAGTGATACAGGTGCTTCTAAAAGTATCTAAATTGTGTCGATGCAGCCGTAAAGATACACATTAAATAAGGGTAAATGGTTATTGACTTGGCGCTGCGCCTTTCATAGAAAAAGACATCAGTTCGAAACAGTGTTATCAAACACGTCTGTCACTCTGTTACTTTTCTTCGGATATGACGTGTTGGCCTTGAAATTATAGATTACTAAAGCCGGTCGCGTCGGGGGAAAGGAGGGGGTCAATAAACAAATCACTTCTACTAAACGGGGGTGGGTTGTTTCACTGTTGCCCCCCCCCCCCCCCCCACACACACACACACCCAACCCCTTCCTGCAAGCTTGGTAGAAGCAAAGTTTCCAGCTACGAATACATGAGTAGATGTGGTCACTGTTAGACGATCACCGAGTTCTATATCAGTTAGCGCAATGGACCTACGTGTGACGATTAAGATATATTTGATAGTTTACTCCAGTGACGAAGGCAGCTAACAACGTTAGGTATGGAATGACACCATCACTTGTGTCCACCACCCCCACCCCTCCCTCCCCAAGAATTTGCTGCAGCTTACCTTCAAAACAGGATATCAAGCGAAGTCTTTTAACAATTTGCTTTAAAGCTTTTCACAATTTGCTTTAAAGCGTAACACCCCAATAGAGATAACGCAAAACATTTGGAAGAGAACTAACTAGGTGCTCAATTTTAATATCTAAAATGACATGATTTATTCCATAAAAGACGATAAAAAGGAAACATTCAGATTCGACCCGTGAACATTCGTGTGAAAATCTTGTTCATGACCTTCTACGACACAATGGTGGGTTAGTTTTAGTTTTAGTAAGAGTTATACGGCTTCAGGTCTGAATGTGGCACCAGAGACGGAATCTGCAGCATGAGCACAATAGCACAGAAACGTATTCAAGTCCAAAAAACCTCTTTGCCTGCTTTACCTACTACTCAAAAACTTTGGACAGAATCCATCACATCAGGCTGATTGAGTGTTTGGAGAAGATATGTATTGATGGCAAAGACATAAGAATATTAGGAAATGTTTACTAGCAGCAGAAGGCAGCAATTAAAGGGTGTAATGGAATATCGGAATAAATTAATTAAAATCCATAGAGGAGTGAGACAAAGTTGTGTCCTCTCTCCCTGTCTTTTCAACATCTATACAGAGTTTATTTTTAGAAAATCTCAAAAACATGCAGGGAGCCACTAACTATTGGGGGCCGCAACATCAATAACTTAATATACGCAGACAATACAGTCCTGCTTGCGAACACAAACGAATATCTTGTTAAAATTGTGAAAATAATGAAAGTGAACAGCAGCAATGCAAGCCTCAACATGAACGCCAAGAAAATAAAAACAATGGTCTAATGAAAATCTTCTGGAGAAACAACATGTATAACCATAGATGAAGAGATAATCGAACAAGTGCACCTATTCAAGTATCTAGGGGCAACAATCGCAGATGATGGAAGAAGTGAAAGAGAAATAAACAAAAGAACAGCAGCTGCAAAATCAAGATTCAGCCAAATGTACAAACTATTTAAATCCAGGCAACTATCTCTCACTTAAAGAAAGAAAATGTAGGAATGCTACATCTTCCCATATTCCTATATGGCGCAGAGGCCTGGACTTTCACAAGGAAAGAGGAAAACAAAATGCGTTTGAGATGGGGTGATACCGTAGAATGGCCAGAATAAGTTGGAAAACAAAAAACGCAAACAAAGACGTGTGTCAGATTCTACACACAAGACAGACCCTGCTGAGCAAAATAAAATGTAGAAAAATACAATACAATGACCATATAAAAAGATTCGAGACCATTGTTAAAGAGGTGCTTGAGGGAAAGATGTGAGGCAGGAGACCCAGAGGAAGGCAAAAAATAACATGTATGGACAACATAAGAACATGGACTGGACTGGATTTGGCAGAATGTGCAACGGCAGCTCGTGACCGTGAAAGATGGAGGGTCATTACACGTCAAACTCTGAGTCAGAGATTGCACCTCCAGGTATCCAAATATACAACTTTGACAGCACAAATAGGTCAGAAAAATGCCAAATATTAGAGTTGTTACTAGAGAGAAACATACAAAGAAAAGAAGGAGGATAGATAAATGCAATAAACATTTGATAGAAAAGAAGAAACAACCACACCAAAGCACCTGTCAACCGCCCACTTGGTGGGTTGTTTGAGTTTCCTTGAGTAAAGAATCGACACAATAATGGTCATTTAGTACTGGGGAGAAGTAAAACAGACAGACAGAAAAAAACAGATGGAAAGTAAAGTAGTAGAACCTACCAGTGACGCCTTCCAACCACATAATATTATGAACAAGGAGTAGTGATCTGTACTTACTATTTGGTCCTGCAGGGAATATTGCGTAGCCAGAAGAAAGGGCACCGTGTAGCTCATACTCTTGTGAAGACTGCAGGATAACATGGCCCAGAAGTAGGCGGCAAGATGACTCGTGTAGACAAACACGAGACATGCCACGCCCATCAGAAGGTTGGCCACGATGAACAGAACATGGGGACCTGAGAGCAAACGGTCGTGATAAGTTTCAGGTTTGAATCTGTGATATGCTTGCTTCTGCCCCTGTCTATAACACAGTGTCTGAAAAAAGGGCGTTAACAGTACTCTCACTCCCTCTCTCTTTCTCTCTCTCCTCTGTCTCTCTTTCTTTCTTGCTCTCTTTCTCTCCCTCCCTCGCTGTATCTCTCCCTCGAGCTTGCTCTCTCTCTCTCTCTCTCTCTCTCTCTCTCTCTCTCTCTCTCTCTCTCTCTTTCTCGTACACCTCATAAAGCATTTATATAATATAATATACATACAAACACACATACACACACACACACAAACACACACACACACATACACACACACACACACAAAAAGACACACACACACGTTATATTTATATAATATACTAGCTGGGCCCCCTTTCGATGAAAGGAATGATCGGCCGGTGCCTATACGTTCTTATACTAACCGTTCTCTGACCCTCAAGGCCGGTGCTTTAATATCAATTAAAAGTCATTGGCCTACTATATTTACACTCTACTGGAATGGGACAATAAATCTTGAGAGATGCAAAAAATTATAAGGTCTTGATCTATACTCTCAAAACAAAACGTGCCTCGCGAAATATCACTTCCGGATTTTCTAAAATTACAGAGACAGAAGGATCTTCAAAGAGTCTACACAACAAGAGGATCCACTCCTCTCTTTGAGCCATTTAAAAAAGTGTCCTCAAAATTCGGTGGCGCCCTCTGCGCAAATGCGCACCCTTTGCGAACAGAGTTACCCTATTTGTGTTACAAAAATCAAAGTGAAACTAACAAGTTTTTGAATAAATAAGAATTCAAATTTCGGAAGAACACTTTTTTTTTTAATGGTTACACTTACAAAAAAACCTCTTCCTTTGGAAAGGGCGACTGTTTTCTTCGTTTAAATTGACTTTAGAATGAGGGGCCAGAGGTCATTAAAATATATTTTAAAAAACAACCTAAAACTCCACACTGAATGAACCCGAACAGCTGATGAACAGCAGGCGATCTGCGCACGCAAGGAGGTGCCATTCCTATTCTTCTTGGGGAGAAACGAAAGAGAGCTTCAAAACAGACTGCAGCGCCATCTGAAGCAAAGAGTGGACTTCCGGTGGACACTTTTTTGGCTGAGTGGACCATCTTGTTATGTACTATCTTTGGCGTCGACCTACAAAAGTGATCGGCGAAATAAAGAAATTTAGCTTTTTGCACCAAAACTGTATCAAAACTGAAAAAACCAAGGGCGTCATACTCTGGAGAATATTTTAAAGAATCTTTAGGCGAAAACCGCATGTCGATCGATGCAGCCATTAAAAAGCCTTTTGAGTATCAAAATTCGGCCACCACAAATAGATAATAGAAGCAACGAAGGTCGACAAAGTTAATCAGTGTGTTTTCCTTTCGTGCAGCGTACCGTGAACTTAGGCCGAAAGTAACTTGTTGACAGCGTCTCATGACTATGACTAACATGTTTTTTTTTTCTTTTGAATAAAAACATGCAGAGTAACACGGCACTTCTGGACTTTTAACCCATTTCCCTTGTTATAATTTCCTTCACTGAAACCAGGTAGGCATTTCTGTGCACGTTTGATTGCATGCGCCTCGTAACAGGAGCACTTTTTTAAAACACATTTTGTACTGTACTTCTTCAACGAGTTCAGACCGAACGAATTAAATTATTCCGGTCAAAAATGAACTATACGATTTGACAATATCATTTCAATGAAAAAAAACCTAATTACTATCGAAACAGCTGGAAAACTGGGCACCTACGTCGATTAGATTTCAAAACGAGCCTATTCAGCAAAAAGCAATAAGAACCTTTCTTCATTTTGAATCATTAACTTTACTAAGCCTGTACTCTCTGTGCACCTGTGCCATGAATCGATGTCTATTATTGTTTTCGTCATTGTTGTTTTTTATACCAGCGCGCTTTTAATGTGCTGGTTCCGCTTGTAAATTGCAATACGTAATCTGCGTTTGTCAAACGGGGGGATGGGGGGGTGGGGAGAGTGGGGGGAGTGGGGGAAGGGGAGGTGAGGCAGGTTCATTTTTGAACGACAAAGCGTCGTTGGGTTGGCTGTGGTGGGGTTATGACTGTTATTACCATGTAGTCAGAATTGTCCAAGATGGCCACCTGTTCTCAGCAAGAAAAGTCGTTGTCTCAAACAGGTGGACATCTTGAACAGTGCCATTATCATTTTGAAAAATTCAAGGAAGGGGTGGGAAGAGGTCGTCTGTACAGGAGACTGTCTTGAACAGTTGGCCATTAAAGCGGGTTCGACCTGGATTTACCCTCCAACATCTGCCCCCACACCTCACTTCCAAATCAGACTGATTGTTCAAAGAGACCGGCGACTGCATTCGGACTTTTATCCAGCACTGAATCAATTTCAAACAGCTGAGAAAATCCGTATTTTAAGGGAAAATTAAATAGAATGATTCTTATTGGCTTTTACCCAGGGGTTGTGGATTGCGAGTCGAATGTTTATATCATGGATTCGGGTCTATGAATAGAGAATAACTCTTTGATAGGAGGGTGGCGCTCACTTGTTACACTCAATAATCGTTACTTTACGAGGTTGAACCGAAAGGAGCAACTAATGATGCCTCCCACAAATTTTAGTTTGACGTTCCTTTTGCTTATGATCATGTTCAATGTGTTATAACATAATCTGAGAGACATATATTGTGCTTCAGCGCCCGTGTACTTTAAGCCTGAACCGGTTTCAGAGAGCCTCGATTGGTATGTAAGACATTTGAGATTGAAACCAATACCCCCGGATAACGGTGTCTCAATGGATATCCATGCTGGCCGTCGATACTCTTTCAACATAACGACATGATGTGGATATCATTCTCTACTCAGGATACCATCAGACTAAAGTCGGAGTCGATATGACATCGAACAGACCGGAATTGAAATTCTACATGTCTGTGTACAACACTCACCTACAATGTCCAGGACCTTCTTGTTGCACGAGCTCATGATGAAGTAGGCCACATAGTAAGCGAACACACCCACAGAGCACATGCGCAGACCACGTTCATAGTTCCCCCTTGCCTCCGAGCCTTGTGGGGCCTTCGGGTCTCCTTTGTACACGGCGATGGTCAGAGAGTTCGACGCAAAGGTCAGAAATACTAACAAGTTGCCGAAGGAGAAGAAGGACGCAGCCAAGAAGATGACCAGTCGTCTGTTGCAAAAGTTTGGTCCAGCAGGGATCCCAGACGTATCAAGAGTAAGGTTGGAGTTGGCGTGATTTTTCGGTGGTATTTCCGGCAGGGACAAACTCTTCTCTTTACCATAACCTAAGGTTTGGGGATGGTTATCACAATTGGCTCCTAAATAACTGTTGGTCAAGAGGTGGGTCGGTTCGGTTACATTACAAACTTCAATTTCTTTGTTGTCTCTCTGCCAAGGACACTGGTGGTTCTCCGAGTCAGGTTCCCCCCACTCTCGAGTATCACAGATAGAAGATGGCACATGTTCTCCTCCTATTTCCCCTGCTTCATGGGGCACTTCCCGTGGCTGTTCTCCATTGCCGACCAGATGATTCTGAACACATTGTGGTGATATAAATCCTAAAGAAGACTTCTGTATACTTTTTTCATCACATTCATTCTCAAGTGTGCATGCAGTAAATTCTGGTGCAATCTCAACGTCGGAGTCATCTTTATCATTCCAGTGCAAGTCCTCCGTGGAAAGCTTTTCATATTTATGAACCCCTTTCGCCTTGCGACAACCAAAACAACAGCATAGGCTATCTCGATTTTTTTCAACAGTTGATCTTTCAGCACTTTTCACCGACTGATTTTTAGCGTCCAATTGAATCATATTCCCGTTTGCGCTTAGTAACTTGAACCCAGTACACAAAGTGAGAGTAAATGATAAAACGGCCAAAACGCCGATGAAGATGAACAGAAAAATTAGAGCCGCGGCAGTTTTATCCGCGTGCAGAATGGCACCAAACATATGTGGCACATTGAAGAGACCCATCGCCGAGAGGCACACGCCAGCTAGGGATGACGCCACTGTGGACGTTCTAAGAATGTTAGGATGCTGCCAGGAAGGGACCGTCTCGAGGATAAACGCCCTTGTGGGTGCCATACTCACGTCAAAGCTTATACATAGTAATGCAGATCCTACTATGGCTATGAGGGCAGAGACAGGTATATGCATTGTTGAGGGGCTGTCGTCTGGAGTAATGATAGTCCGATTATAGGAGAAGTATGGTCGTATGTCGGACATGTTCGGTGAAATATGCGATGTGTTAAGCACAACATCCAACCCCCTCCTCGAGATGTTGGGTAATATTGTTTGGCCCAGATCGTTGGAAATGACGGGCAAATTCTTGGAGGTATTTGAAGAAGCAGAATCATGTAAAGTAGAAGTGATGTTCTTTGTCGTGTCTTGCTCCAACAGCGTGGCGATCGAAGAGTCAGATGTTACAGTTTTGAACGGCAATGTATTATTCTCTGGGTTAAGGCCTGCATCTATGCCAGTGTAGTGACAATCCAAAGTTGAGTTGGCAGATCCCAATAGTGAGTTGCACATTGCTTTTCCATACGTGATGTTTTCAACCTCTGGCACCTCGTTAAAATTAATTTTGATGAAAGTGGACGCTGAGAACAAGGTCAAGGCTATCAGAAGAATACCAAGACCAACCAATAGTGAGACAGTTTTCCTGAACTGTAGATAGAAGAAGATGCAGATATCAATTTGTTATTTTTATATTGACAAACACCAAGTCTGATTTATAACAATGCAGGCCAATAATTCAAAATCAAAACATAAGAACAGTTGTTGTTATAATTTAGTGTGCGTTATTGATACTGTGATCACATATTTAAATTTTATTTGAGTGTGTATGTATGTGTTTGTGTGTGTGCTTGTGTGTGTGTGTGTGTGTTTGTGTGTGTGTGTGTGTGTGTGTGTGTGTGTGTGT